GTAATATTAATTTTACCTAATATCCAAGGGAGGGAGGTGTCTGGGACATATTCGTGCTGGTTCTGGGTAGTTTCTACATAGCACTTAAGCCAGGGCTTGGGTTCTAAAAATTCAGCTGGTTTGCTTTATGGTACTTTGTGCGAAAGGCTCGGGATGTTGGCTGATGGGAAAGGCAGGGTTCGCATGTGTTCAGGTGCATGGAGCAGAGCAGGCGATGTTCGCAGCAGACCGGTCTGCACAGTGCCTATGTTTAAGTGCAAGAGTCCATCACTTGACTATGCCCAGAGCATGGTGACCAACATGGGGAAGGATCTGGAAAGAGGAATAAGGTAGGTTCCTTGTCCAGAGGGGCTCATGGTCTAGGTGAGGGCAGGAGTGTGAAGGGAGGAGCTGGAAACACTTGGCCTGAAAAAGGATGACAACAACAACAAACTGGGGTGTGGTGGGCATATCATCGCTGTTTTCAAATATTTTCAGGACAAGCAGGCTTTTCTGGGGACCAAAGAGCATTGGAACAACACACTTGGCAGAAGCCCAAGGCATCTGAAGGAGAAATGCTGCTCATGGGATCTGGTGATGGGTTTATTACTCATATAGCTGTCTTGTTACCCTCTCCGGACTCCCAAGAAAACCCCAAAGCACTTGAGGGCTGCAGCGTGAGGACTGGTCAGGGAGAGATGGCTCATTAGACACTGGTTAATGCTCCTGTCCAGTGTCCTTTTTCTCTAAGCCAGCACCACATGGCGCCTATTCACTTGCTTGTACCATCAAACTTCTCCCCTTCACCAGGACCAGCTGGCCAGGATGTAAAATGCCACCTGTGTGCTCTACTCCAGGCTGCAACTTTCCTGTGCACATGAATCATCTGGGGGTCCTACTGAAACGCAGATTCTGACTCAGCAGGTCTTAGGTGGGGCCCAATCATTGGAATCAGCCCCGGAGATGCCGATGCTGCCGGCCTGCCTATACACCATGTTTTGAGTAACAATGCTGTACTACAAGTCATGGTCTTCCCTCCAGTGACAGCCAAATCCCATCAGGCCAGTGGTCAGCTCTTCCAAGTTGCTATCAGAAGTAAGCCTCACATCTCTTCTAGCAGAGGGTTATGCCTGGAAATATGCCTTGTTTCTTTCCAGACCTCATGAAACAATTATATTCAGGTGTCACTTAGCCAGCCAATGTCTTAGTCATCCCTAGGGCCATTCAGCAGCTATTGAACATATTTTTTTCCAAAGCACATCAACCTGACTTTTGACTTTTGTCCAAGTTGTTTGAAATACAGCACATTTTAAATGTGTTGTACACGATGTCAGCAACTTTATGCTAAGAAACAAGTATCCGTTTGTGACTACTGGGGCAGATTTCTTTTCTCATTGCTCTATGTTGTGGTTATTGCAAGGTGACAATGTACTCCTAAACTTTTTAAAGTGATATTTAAATGATTTTTTATTAATTACTTTTTATTTAATTTTATTTATTTATTCATTTATTCTTAGTTTGAGCAGAGAAAGACAGAGACAGAGACAGAGAGAGAGAGAGAGAAACTGTAAAAGCAAGCCACCAGGTCTGGGACTCGAACTGTGGTTGGCCATGTGGGAGTGTCTAGCTCCTTAGCCACCATGCCACCTGCTGGTCCCAAAGTGATATTTAAATGACTTTTTAAATACAATGAGTACTTGTTTAATGAGGCCATACTTGATGAGTAATGATTAAATCTAGCAAACTGTGTTTGGCTCACTTTTTAATGATTCTGTTGGTGATTTTTATGAGTACCCCTCAATGTTCATCTATTTCTTCCATGAGAGAGGGGGTGTACCCCCAACAGGATCCCCACACCATGTTCCATCTCTGGCTGCAGCTAGCCAGGATCATGGACATGCACACACACTTCTGGAGTGTGCACAGGGAAACCTTGGGGTGTGGACCTGGGACTTGGCACCTGTGACAATGTATGTGGCCAGAGCATTGAGGCGCCTTGTGTATCACTGCACCCCTGTGGCTAGATCCTGGGAAGATTTCAAATTGTTATTGATTGAAGTCCTTTCAAGTTCATGTGCCTTTCCTCCAGGAGTCAGTCATTGGTCAAAATAAAGCAACGGAAAGATTTCTTGTGATGCGTGTATTTTGATTTTGATAAAATCTCAACTGTAAGAGCATGCCACTTTTCTCTACGGGAGCTGTGAGGTCTTGGCCAAGGTGCTTAATATCCTGGTCATAAATGAACTCATGTAAAGTAAGGGTAATAATATCTACCTTGAAGCAATTAAATGGGATGTTTATCGATAATGTTATTAGGTCACTTTCTGCCTTTCTGTAGGGAAGGGACACAGTTTGTTTCCTCCTTCACTAGTCTTAAGGCATCTTAGAACCAGCAGGTGGTGTAATAGTTATATTGCTGGACTCCCACATAGTCAACCTTGGTTCAAGTCCCAGACTGGGTGGCTTAAACTCATGTTGGGTGTGTGTGTGTGTGTGCCGAAGAGCCCATGAGGAGAATGGAGGAAAAGGGATTGCGTGGTGGCTGTTGCCCTGGGGGCAGGGGGGGGTGATTTCTCACTTTCGTCTGTCTGTCTCTGTCTTTCTGGCCAGTGCATGCAACCCATAGAAAAAAACCTCTCTTAAAATAAAATCTTGAGAATAAGATCTATATTTTAAATCTTTTTTAGTCCTTCATTTTTGATTGGTTAAAGGCATTTGGAATGAATGAATGAATGATGAGATAATTATTAAAGTCTTGTTGACTTTTAAGATTTCTGATTACCTGATTCCCGCCCCTCCCCATGTTTTAGCTCCTTAGAAGAAATTGAAGAACTCCCTTAAAATAAATATCTTCTATATTAAGGGATTTCCTTCTAGCCAGTCCTATAAAATATGTATTACATTAATTATTACTAATAAGTATGTACCTGGGCCCAGGAGCTGGTGGCTGTGGTTATAAATAATCTCTTCAGTTTCTGACCTTGGGCCTAATTCTTTGTACTGGCACAAATGAGGTGGGTCAGAGGCTAGCCTTGGCTCTCTGCTTCCCCCGCACTGCTCTCTTGGGAAGCTCTCCCATGAAAGATGAACAGGAAATATGCATTTGTTCTCTGACATGAGATTTGGGAGTCATGCATAATAGAGCCTGGGTTTCATGATATATTCATTTCTGTCCTCAAGATGCATTTTGTCTTTTAGATTAAATATAGACTGGCTCAGGGGTCAGCCCCACTCAGGGCATTAGAGGAAAACTGTGCTTCCTCCAAATCTAAGGATTTACCTCGGTTACCTGTCTAGAGGAGTAGCTCCTACCTTGTCTGTGTGATTGAGCTGCTGGAAGTTAGTGCCAGCTGAGTCCATCCTCACTACTTTTTTTTTTGGGGAGATTTTTGCTATACGGCACATGCTCGCTCCAGAAAGATAGAGACAGAGAAGCAGAAAGCGAGAAATCACCCCCCGGGGGAGTGAGTGCAATCCCTTCTCCTCCATTCTCCTCTCGGGATCTTGGGCACACATGCACACGTGCCAGGTGTGAGTTTAAGCCACCGAGTCCGGGATTCAAATCGCGGTCGGCTACATGGGAGTCCAGTGACATAGCCATTATGCCAACTGCTGGTCCCCCATCCTCACTACTTTGTCCTGTGCCCCCGGATGGCAACAACCTGGTAGAAGGTGTGTAAAATGTAACTGTCAAACTCAGATTTGAGTTTAAATCCTGGCTTGGGTATGTAATTTAATCCATGAATCTCAGTTTTTAATGTCTAAAGAGGGCTAGTAGTGTTAGTCTTGCAGATTTCGGTGGGCGATGAATTAGTATTTGCAAGAGAAATCACCCCCCGGGGGAGTGAGTGCAATCCCTTCTCCTCCATTCTCCTCTCGGGATCTTGGGCACACATGCACACGTGCCAGGTGTGAGTTTAAGCCACCGAGTCCGGGATTCAAATCGCGGTCGGCTACATGGGAGTCCAGTGACATAGCCATTATGCCAACTGCTGGTCCCCCATCCTCACTACTTTGTCCTGTGCCCCCGGATGGCAACAACCTGGTAGAAGGTGTGTAAAATGTAACTGTCAAACTCAGATTTGAGTTTAAATCCTGGCTTGGGTATGTAATTTAATCCATGAATCTCAGTTTTTAATGTCTAAAGAGGGCTAGTAGTGTTAGTCTTGCAGATTTCGGTGGGCGATGAATTAGTATTTGCAAAATATCCAGTGCAATACCTGGCAGTGGGATCAGCCCAGTGTAGATGAGAATGATGAAGATGCATTTCAGAAGCAAGGCAGAGAAGACTCAGTCGTTGTGGCACCCATGAAAGTACCAGCTCTGGTGAGTGACTGCAGAATGTCCCCCAGTCGCTTGCTGCATTCAATGACTAAAGTGCAGAGTACAGTCTCGGTGCTAAAATTTCTCATGGGTCTGGAAAACGTGATCACAATCTCTGTCACATGTTTCATGGTCATTTGAGATGCCGATTCATGTGTGAGTAGCTTCAGCCTTTCTTCCCTCAGTATCTAGCGATTGTTCTGTTTTATCTTTTGTCTTGGGACAAGGAAAAAGACTGATTACTATCTTGACTCTGATGATACGTTACAATACCTGATGCCAGTGTGACTTCTATTTCCTTTTAACTCTTGAAAAAGTAAAAATGGCAGTCCTACAAATAAACATCGATAAATCCATTCCACGTGAATGGTCTTTTTCAGACAATAGAAGTAGGGTTCTGAACCACACATTTTTAAGTATTTGAGAGACTGCACCACGCTTTGCTAATTAGCTTGTGGCTTGTTACCTCACAGGGAATCAATTGATCTCCATTTCAGAGGCTCAAGGTGTCACCATGAGAGGCCCTTAGACAATAAGCGAATTGGGTCTCACACAGTACAGTTGATTTCAGGTCATGGCTCTTCATGTCATGGTTAGCTAATTTTGGACTCTGAGAACCCTGGTAGTTAGCGGGTGGGATTGATGATGGCTGTGATATCTAGAACTAAAATAAAACAGATTTATTCCTTTGTGCACAGCTATTTGGAACTGGAGAGCAGTGGCCTGAGAGATGAGATTCGCTATCACTATATACATAACGGGAAGCCCCGGACAGAAGCACTTCCATACCGGATGGCAGACGGACAGTGGCACAAGGTCGCACTGTCGGTTAGCGCCTCTCATCTCATGCTCCATGTCGACTGTAACAGGTATGTCTTTGTCATTGATGATTTGGTGTCTCTGCCCTTGAAGTCAAGCAATGGGAAGGGGAAAAAAATCAACCCTCTTCAAGACTTGCTGGGAAACAGAAACCAAGGGACCCTAATTGTAATTTAACCTTCTGAATGGGCCATTAGGCATGCTGAAATGACCAACCATAATATGATAAGAAAACAGTTCATTAAGATGAAACTGTGTCCTATGATTAGGAACAAATGTACAAAAGGTTGATTACAGATTAGGGAATATTAAGTGCTCCTCGGTGCGCTCCCAGCACTGGCTGAAACTCCATGGAGCTGTGATCACAGTTAACTGTGATATATTGTTGTTGAGTTCGTTCCACTTGGGAGCGAATAAGCCAGTCTACCTTAGAATGAATCCGAGAAGCCTGTGCTACTGAAGTGGCTAATTCTATTTCACTTCATCAAGCTCAGCTTTGCTTAAATATCTTTTCCAAGTGGAGGTTTCTTAAAGAGGCTGTTCTTTGAATTTCTTGGGATTGATACCGTCCATTCTGTGCAGAGAATGAGCCTTCCACATGTCCAATGATAGCAGTTCTAATGGCGAGGACTGCAGGGTTTCACCGGCGGGTGGGGTGGGAAGGAGACATTGTGATGTTTGCCGCTGGAGTAAGGTTTACTGACAGCTGAAGCAGGGAGGAGACTGTTGGTCTCCATTGAATAGTTTGTGGCTGGGCAGCTGGATAATGGTGGTCAAGGGGAATGTTTTGATCTCTCCAGAACCCACTGAAAATCCTTATGGATAGTGATCTGAGTCCAATTACAGAGAAGTTTTCCATTTCAAGCAGTGACCATGCATTGTTGGTTCTCGTTAATGATGCCGTCAAAGTTAAAATGAGTGTTCAGCCTCAGGGCTGGCTCCTTTGGGCCCTGGATAAAGAAGAGGCATGCTGGGGACAGCCTGCCTTCCAGGACCCATCAAGAAGAGGGCTATTCCAAGGTCAGTCAGCTACAGTCTCGCTTGTACTTCTCACTCCGGTCAGCATTCTCTTTTAGGAGAAAATCTCAAAGTGTAGAGAACTAGTATCAGGCTTTCTATTGGGATTAACCACAGGTAAGGTTTGAGGCCTCTTTCTGGTCTGTGGCTTATGAACACGGCTCTATCCTGTGTAGTTTGTGGGTTCAACCCTAGTGTCTGGCTTAAGGGAAAGCCTGCTATCTCAAAGTGAGTCTTGGCTCATTTCAATGTGATCTATTTAAGGGGCTTTCTAGAATTCTGAGCAATTCTGTCTTCAACTGGATGTGAGATGTATGTTTGAACAGAGTTTCCATAGAAACCACTGGGTCCTTTTCACTCTGCAGACCTGAGCTGGGCAGTCTGGATAAAACTAGCCCTTAGCTACTGTCTCCATTTTCTCCTTAAAGAGCTTATTTGTTCTCTAGGACTACAGTGGCCAATCAGGAAGAAATCCTGTTTCCCAGGACTGATGACCCATCTGCTGCCTAAAAGGGCCTGCAGAGGGGGGGTATTGTTGTCCTTCTAAGCCAGAGGCCAGAAAGAGCCCTCCAACCCTCGTTGAGTAAATTCCAACGGAAAAGTCCTAGAGACACTACTGTTTTCTTGCTGTGCAGATATTTGCGTCTTCCTTCCAAATGTTTTACTCTTCATTTCCTGACATTCTTCTCTTTGGAGATAGGAAAGAAGAGGGGACAGGACTTGTCTTTGCTAAGCTGTGATTTAATGTTTTCAAAAAGTCTCTGATCCTTGTGAAGTATCCTCTTTGGCTGTCCTCAGCACTTGCTGGCTGTGTGAATTTGGACAAGTTAATTTTCTGCCTCTCTTCTTCATCTGTAAAATGAGCATAGTAATACCAGAACTTGTTTAGAGATGAAAAGTTCAGCGAGATAATCCATGTAAAGTACTTAGGGTAGTGCTTGGCCGTCAGTGTTTAGTACTTGCCTGTCATTTATCCTGCACGTGTTTGGTGCCTCTTTGACCTGTCCTCTAAACTTGGATCCATGGCACATTCCTCATGGCATCACGGCCTCCCTACCGGAAGAGGGGGAGAGGATGGGCGACCTGCAACCTACAGTATTCTTTTAAGAGTCAGCCCCATTTATAAAGGATGAACTGAGGGAATTCTAAATATGTCTTCCCTTTGCTGAATATTTTTCACACTTTGGCTTATGGAATAACACATCCTTTATGTAAGAGCTTAGAGGGAAAACATGAAATTGCTGCCTTTTACTAATTTATGGACTGAAAACACAAATGGGTTTTCTGGATAGGCCGGAGGGAAAAAGGCGCTGAAATGCCAGGCCATCAGAAAGGTAAGTTTGAATTTGTGTGTGAGAAAAGTCTAGGAACATGGTTCCAACAACACGAGTTCCATGACTACACATAAGAATTCCCTGGGAAACTTTTGAAAAAGAAAATATGCATAACCAGACCCCATTTGTGATTTTGGTCTGATTCCCTGAGGGTGGAAACAGAGAAGCTACGGTTTCTTTGTAGGCAGCCCTTCCTTGGCACTAGGGTTTGAATTTCAAACCCACTGGTTTAGATGGAAAGGAAGGAGGCTGGAGGGGAGGCTGGGCTATAACAAATAAATGAGGGACTCTGGAAAACCAAGTATCTGAAGCTAGTTCTTAGAAGGGGGATGAAAGGATTGAGAGAACATTGTTGGAGCCAGCAGGCTGTGTGGTGGTGAAGGTGCGACTCCCACATGGCCAACTATGGTTCAAGTCCCAGATCTGGTGCCTCGAGGTCACGCCAGGCACATGTGCGTGAGTACCCAAAATCCCAGGAGAAAGATGGAGAAGAAAGGATTGTGGTATGGCCATCATTCCAGGGTTGATTTCTTTTTTTTTTTTCTCTCACTGTCTCTCTCTCTGTATCTCTCTGGTGAGAGTATGCACCCTATGGCAAAAATCTTTAAAAATAAATAAACAAAAGGAGAGGGCAATGTCTAGTATACTAAACTTCTTCCTGAGTTTCTTCCTGGCCAGCGCTAGCTGACTTTAGAGTATCAGAAGTTCTGTCCCATATATCAAACCACTTGTCAACCACTTCTTATCATGGCCGGCCTCACAGAGAGTGAATTTCACAAAGGCTGATTTAAAATCTCTCAGCTATGCTTTTCATACCACCTTGAGATACTTACTTTTTGATCCTCCTTTCCCTTGGACTTACATTCTTTGCTTTCTTAACTTCTCATCAGCTGGAGTTCTGCTGAAAGGATGATCAATGGAGGCGATGATACATAACATTTATTGAGAGTTGAGTGTGCTAGCCAAAGTGCTTAGCACTTTCTGTAGATGATAATTATATAGATTAATTCACTCCCTACTCATGCTGTTATGTTATTTTTTTAGCATGCAGAAACTGAGTCATTATTTGTCTGCATTTTCACTGCTGATAAGTGGTAGCACTAGGAATCGAACCTGTCAGACCCATGAATAGCTGCCTCTAACTCCGAGGCTGTCAGTCCAACAGAGGGGACCACTGGCTCTGGATTTTGAACATGAAGCAAGGACAGGAGCCAGATATAGTTTGTAAACCAGCTTGCTCCTCTCTTCTATTTTTCTTTACCATGTCTTACATTGCTGATCCTTGAAGAGTTTGGACAGATGTGGAATCTAATTAATGGAGCCCATTGCACTGGTGTGAGAGAAGAGACCTGCCTCTACTACAGGCCAGGTGATACACGAGGCATCACATTCCCTAGGATAGCCATGTGGGGACGATTTTAGTAGGCCCATTTTGCAGATTTGGAAATGAAAGGCCCAGAGAGGGTAAGTAAACCACATAATATAGCAGCCATAGAACCAAACTTTGCTCTGGGATATATGCCTCTAAACCTTCACCTCCTCTCCACACCTCCATCATAGACTGTTAATGGAATACACCGCCCGAGACATTCATACTAGGGTGTCTTCTCTGCAAGAGAAGCTGCAGCAGGTTTGGGGACCCTGAGAACATCTAAACTCAGGAAGAAATTCCCCAGGCGATTTCATTGCTCCGAGGAGCTTTAGTGTGGCAGTATCTTGCCCTTTTTTTAGGTTAGAATTCAAGATACCGAGCTTTTTCAGACCTAATTGCACGAATTGTCACAAGAAAAGCAAATGCTATTTTAGTCCGAAGTTCGACACTTTCTGCGGGCTGCTGTGACTTACACTTTTCCCTTGGTTCAGCTGTTTAGCTGGGCCTAGTGAGGAGCTGGCAATGTGTGGGTAGCAGATTACTTCCAGTGAGAAACATAAAAGGAGCCATTCAGCTGGGTGGCCAGGCTGATTATCTCCATTGCCTTGGGTTTTCTCAAGCTGTCTTTTATATTAATAGGTACCCACAAAGCCTAGAATAAGGCCTGGACTAATCTTCCTCAGAGTCTCTCTCTCCATTCTCAGTTCACTTTGCAGTCTGTCCCCATCACTCAAAGGGCAGAATCCAGTAACATATGGGATTCAGACCGTGAGTGATCTTTTCCATTCACTACAAAATGGATTTTCTTTCCTTCTCTTTATTTGGTAACTCTTAATTTTCAATCAGCCCATCAAATTAATGTATTGGGTGCATGGTCTCTGCCAGACTCTGTGGGACAGTAGGAAATAAAAGTGCCTATGTCATCAGGAAGTTCAGGGCTTATTCATTTAGTCACTTTGAATTCATTCTGAAACAACAAGACCCCTGTAGTGATTGGTCCTGATCCCTAGTTATCGGACAAAATCTGGACGCAGACCGAAGCCTTGTGAGCAGGTCAGTTTGACAACTCATAATGGTAGTGGAGCATTGGAGAAAACTAAAACAGTGACTTCCAGCATCTTGGTTTTGCATGAAAGTGGAGCTGAGCTCCTCAGCAGCTCAGGGATGGACTGAGCAGTGGTTTCCATTCAAATGATAACATACATTCGTCCAGCCTCTGGCCAGCTCTTTTTGCAATTTGCAGGTGTCCCTACCCTAAGCCAACTGCCTTATGCCTGACTGCTGGGAAAAAAAGTTTCCCTTAAGCACAGTCTTCATATTTAAACAG